GGGAGCGGCTGCCACTTGGGCAGTGGGGGGAGGGGGGGCTGCCACTTGGCGTGTTTTCTGGAAGGGGGCACTGAGATGGAGCTTCTACCCGAACAGTGAGTCATGGTTGACCTGGCGAGGGCCACGCTTGGTTTCGGTGGTTCTAATTATTCATTTCTCTTCCCTTTCACAACACATCTGCCTTAGTAGCTTCTCTGTTGCTATGAGATTCAGAGAAGAGTTTATTTGGGCCTGTGGTTCCAGACGCTTAGAGTCCATGATGGGGGCCCAAGCAGGCTGGGAGCTCACATCTTGAATCGTAAGCAGCAGAGAGATCACACAGAGAGTGGGGTGAGGCCTTAAACTCTCAACGCCCACCCCAGGGATGACATATTTCCTCCAGCAAAGCTACACCTCCCGAGCCTCCTCAAACAGTGCCACCAGATAAGGACCAAGTGTTCAAATGCCTAAGACTATGGAGGACATCTCAGTTAAATCACAGTGATGTCTGTCTTAGATGGGGTTCTATTGTTATGAAACCCCATGTCCCAAGGCTACTTGGGCAGGAAAGGGTTTATTTTGCTTATACATCCGCAGTCACAGTTCACTGAGGGAAGCCAAGGCAGGAACTCAAACTGGGCAGGAACCTGGAGGCATGAACTGGATCAGAGGCCATAAAGGGGTGCTGCTTATGGGCTTGTTCCTCATAGAATCCAGGACGACCAGCCCAGGAATGTCCCCACCCACAATGGACTGGGCCCTCCCCCATTGATCACTAATTAGGAAAATGCCCCACAGGCTTGCCTATAGCCTGGTCTTATGGAAGCATTTTCTCAACTGAGGCTCCCTCCTCTCCTAAAACTAGCCAGCACAGTGTCTGTCCTTGAATTTATCAGATTGAAGGCTCAACTTTAAAAACATTAACCATTTCTTAAAAGTACCATGGGATTTTTTTTAACAATTATTTTTTATTTGTTCTGTTTGGGAGGTTTTTGAGTCAGGGTGTAACCTAGCTGGCCTTGAACTCTGCATCCCACTGCCTCAGCCACCCTCGCGCTGGGACTACATGTGTGCACTACCATGCCCCACAAGGTGGGCTTTATTGGGATTTTTCTGTTGAGAAGAAGATGTGTGTTCATTTTTGCTCAGTTAAAATGAGGACTCCCAGGCTGGGATGTCATTGGGGCATGTATGAAGTCTGCCTGCACACAGCCCCGAGTTCCATTCACACCACCGAAACAAATTAAAAAGTAACTAGATAGTAGGATGACTCAAATAGTAGGCTGGTCACTGTGCAGAATAGGCTGGCCTGCGATTCCCAGACATCCGCCTGCCTGCCTGCCGGGTGCTGGCAGTAAAGGAGAGCACCAGCATGCCCAGTGTTACTGAGGCTTTTGTTGCGTGCTCCGTGGCATGGCTTTGTTTACTGTTTATCTGGTGGTTTCTGTTCCGCTTTGTCTTCTGTTTTCTGAGGGCAGGCTTTCCTTCAGGGTTTCCGTCTTAGACCTTGGTGCCCCATTCGTTTTGCTTTTAATTTCATTATTTTATGTGTATTGGTGTTTACCTGCATGTAAACACATGTGGTGTCTGTGCACCACATCCTCTATACTAGATGGTTGTGAGCAATCGTGTGGGTAGTGAGACTCAAACTTGGGTCCTCTGGAAGAGGAAAGAGTGCTCTGAACTGCTGAGCTGCCTTCCCAGGCCCCCGCTGGTTTCTAAGCTTAGAGCAAAGCTTCGGTGATTACAATCAGACACCTTTGCATGCACACACACACACACACACACACACACACACACACACACCGCTCCCATCTTCTTCAAGGGTGGTCTAGCATAAGAGACATCAATAAAACATCTTTCTTCCCTTCAGAGGAGCATGACAGTCTCTGTTTCTTTTCCTTGTTGACTGTCGAAAAGGAAAAAATTTAGTCAGTGAACCACAGTGAGCATGCCACTTTATTTTTTGGTTTGGTTTGGTTTGGTTTGGTTTGGTTTGGTTGGCTTTGGTTTTTCTAGATAGGGTTTCTCTGTGTGTAGCCACAGCTTGTCCTGGAACTAACTCACTCTGTAGAGCAGGCTGGCCTCGCGCTCACAGAGAGCCACCTGCCTCTGCCTCCTGAAGTGCTGGGATTAAAGATATGTACCGCCACCACCTCCAGGTTGCCGCTGTGTTCTTAAACTCTGCATCATACCCACAGTTTCCTAAGTGGAGGACTCAAACTTGTTCAGAAAAGGAGCTAGAGAGATGACTCAGTTGGTAAAGTGCTTGCCACCCAAGCTCAAAGACCTAAGTTCAGATCCTCGGGTCCCATGTGAAAGACTGGGCATGGTGGCATGTGTCTGTAACCCCAGTGCCTGGGAGGCAAACAGGCTTATCGCTGGAGCTCACTGGTCAGCCAGTCTACCTGGGCCATGAGTTCCAGGTTCCTCAAGAGGCCCCGTCTCAAACACTAAAGTGGAGGAAGACACTTGGCATTAACATCTGCCCTTCACACATGCACATGTGCACACGCACAGGCGTGGGCACACACACACACACACACACACACACACACTCAGAAAATGTGCAATACTGAACATACATAGATTTTTCTCTTATGTTTTCTAAATAATACAGTTTAACAGCCACTTATATAGCATTTATTTTATATCTGACATTGTAAGTAATCTAGAGTTGGCTTCAAGTCTACAGAAAGCCAAGCATGGTAGTGGTGCATTCCTGTAATCACAGCACTTAGGAGACTGAGGCAGGAAGTTCCTGAGTTCAAGGCCAGCCTGTGCTCTGCAGGGAAATGGAGGACCGTGCATCTCTAGCAGAGCAGTAGACTGATTGCTTTAGCATATGCAAGGTCCTAAGTCCAATATCTCAAACTGCATGCCCCCCCCCCAAAAAAAGAGTGCAAACACTACATTGAGCGTTGGACTCTGAAGGATTCTCTAAATCAGTTTCTGTGATCATAGCAAGGATTGAGTGTGCTCACTTGCAGCTTACACGAGCAAAGCTCATCCACTTTTCCCGCTCACCAGACTCTGCGATCTGCTCTTTGATTGAACCAGTAGAGACCTTTGAGCCCAGACTTCTGTTTTTGACACTCCAAAGGATAAGAGTCTATTGATCGGCCCTCCCTGAATGTTTCAGCAGAGACCCACAACGGCAAATTAGAAAAAACAGTCTGTGACACTCCTTGCACATACGGGACCCACAGGAAGCATTTCCTTGCTCCGGGCAGTTGTATTTGCCGCTCAAAAGCCCAAATCACATTTTTGCCTCGTTGTTAATGAATGTATTGTGTTTTCTAATTGCAGTTCTGACTTTACCTTATTTTTTCCCTGTCTTTCTTTACCTGATGCTATTTCCCCCATTTTTGTCTTAGGATTTTATTTTTGTTGTTTTTAATGCTGCACACATGGGGGCAGGGGCTGTGTGTGTCACTGCGGTGTTCCTGGAGGCTAGAGCAGGGCATCAGCTCCCCTGAAGCTGGGATTGTGCACAGTTCTGGTTTGCTCTACTGGGGTGCTTGGGAGCCCCACTCAGGTCCTCTGCAAGAGCAGCACAGGTCTTAACCACTTGAGCCACCTCTCCAGCCCTCACTGTTTGTATTGTGTGGATTTTTTTATAATCCATAAATAAAAAATAAAATTGTATGAATTAAAATTATAGTCACTAATGATGAACACTGAAATTGGTGGCATCTACACCTTAGGGTCACTTCTGTCCAGAGTTATCTGTGAATGAATGAGTCCTGTGTCATTTTTGTCTTCAGAACCAAAACCTGAAAGCAGGTTCATGGGCTGTGTATCTGCTTGAGATTTCAGACCATTTTGTTGATCTTTCTGATATAAAACCAAAAAGTCACCTTTCTTTTATCTACTTCTCATGTTGAGTTCACACAGACGTTAGGGGATAGGAGGTGAGGCCGAGGCGAGAGTTTGGGAACTGACCGTTGGCTGACCTCATGTGTCCCTCCTGCACTGTTTTCCTCTCGGGCTGGCGGGGAGATGCTAATAGCTCCTTTCCTTTTCTCTCTTCCTAATAGAAAATTCTTAACCTGAAGTCAGACGAACACATCTTTAAATTTCTGAAGGCCAAATTTGGCTTTGGAGCAACGAGGTATGACTGCTGTGAGCCCAAAGTCTTCAGCCCTCCCTGCAGTCTCCTTGCCTCTCGGGTGTGACAGCTTGCCCTCCTTCCTTCCCCAGGGATTTCGATGCGAATCTCTATCTGTGTGAAGAAGCCTTCGGCCTCCTGCCTCTCAACACATTCCAGAGGCTCTCGGAGACTCTTCTCTTCTACGCGTACATGTTCGTCCTGTTCGTCACAGCGGTCACAGCCTCGGTGGTTGCCTTTCGTAACCTCAGGTAGGACTTTTTAACACTCCTGCCCTAATGAGGCTGCCCCAGTGGGAGCTGGGAGGGAGGGAGGATGAGAACACAAATGGTAAACCCAGAGCAGAAGAGCGCTGTTCATCTTACAAGGGAAGACAGCATTTAGGGCGGCTGCAGTGCGGAGCGGGCTGTGTTCCTGGCCGGTTGACATGCTGGGAAGCGCCCATCCTGGGCGAGTTGGGTGGCCTGTCAGTACTTCTGTCTCCTCTCCTGTAGCATAAGAAGACCTTTAGTGCAGCTGCTGTGTAACTGGAAAAAAACCACACTAGGTATAGAAAAAGTGTCTCGTACCAAGACCCTTCTGTGGGCATTAGCGACCACTAGCTGCTGTTGCTGTTGTTGGTTCACAACTTTTTCCTTTCTTCTTCTAGATTAGGCACATGCAGCCCTAGTCCTGCTACTGGTGAGAGTTCTAATGTGGCACAGTACAAAATAGTGAAATGACTGGAAATGGGGGGAGTGGTTTAGTTTTGTGTGTGTGTGTGTGAGAGAGAGAGAGAGATTTTTTGGTAACTCTGTTATGTTGGTTCAAGTAAGAACTTTATACATGGTGACAAAGACCTGTACGCCGAGGCAGGAGGATTTTAGGTTTAAGGCCACCCTACACGCTAAAATGAGTTCAGGGACAATGTGAGCAGCTTAGACCCTGTTTCAAAATAACAAGGGAAAATAAGGGCCAGATGTGTGGCCCAGTGGTCTGTCGCTTCTCTCATATGCCTGAGACCCTGGTTTTGATTCCTGGCACCAGAAAAATAAAGCATTAATTGTTGTTTGTTTGTTCCCTGGGTCTCGTTTGAAAGCTCATGGAGTTGGCATGGTCATAATTATGAACGTTTACTGAAACTGCTATGTTCTCGTGCCTGTATTTAAAACTTAGCTCGTCTCTCAGCTACAGAAGAAAGCATCAAGGAGTCTGATGCGTTTTTTGGAAGACCTGTAGAATACCTCCCTTCAAGATGATGGGTTTTGCATTTACAATACAAGTTTCATTGAGAGAAAATTACAAAGTTGAAGCAACCGTCGTTTGTGGGAGCTTGATGGAGTTCTCAGGGAAGCCCCTTTTCTGTAGTTCCACAGCCATTTAAATGCTGTGATTCCCAGGCAGGAACTGCGGGAAGAGTGAGTCCAGATCGCTCCAGCCTTATGATTATTAATATTATTAAGAATAATGCAGGGCCTGAGAGATGCCTCAGTGGATAAGAGGGCTTACTGCTCTTCCAGAAGTCCTGAGTTTAGTTCCCAGCACCCATGTTGGGTGGCTCACAACCTCCTGTGATTCCAGTTCCAGGAGACCTGATGTCCTCTTTTGGCCTCTGAAGGCCCTCACACACAGACACATAGTAGAAATCTTTTTTTTTAAATTGATTGATTGAGTGATTGATTAATTTAATATATGTGGGTAATCTATCTGCATATATGCCTGCAGACCAGAAGAGGGTACCAGATCTCACCACAGATGGTTGTGAGCCACCATGTGGTTGTTGGGAATTGAACTCAGGTCCTCTGGAAGAACGGCCAGTGCTTCTAATCTCTGAGCCATCTCTCCAGCCCCATAGAAATCTTCTTTAAATATATTTCATCAGTTATTAGCTGGCTCAAGATAAACCTTAACCCCATGGAAACAGGAAAGTTCTAGATGACACAATTAATGTCACTGTAGATACACAGATGTGGACAGAAACCTAGTCTGTATCCAGAGCAGGGGAGCCCAGTAAACCTGCCGAGTCTGCTGAGACCCGATGCTGGGACCCTTTAAAACAGTTCCTCATGTGGTGGTGACCCCCAACCATAAAATTATTTTTGTTGCTACTTCATAACTGTAATTTTGCTACTGTTATGAATTGTAATGTAAATATCTGATACACAGATATCTGATATGCAACCCCTGTGAAAGGGTCCTTAGCTCCCCAAAGGGGTTGTGGCCCACAGGTTGTGAAACGCAGGATTAGAGGGTCTCTTGTCTACCTGTTGGAGGTTTTAGAAGTCTTTCAAGGAAAAGCACCATGTTAATTAAATAATGGTAGTTTCTTAACATGTGCTGACTTAGTGGTCAAAGGGTGATTTTTTTTTAAGGTTTATTTACTTTTATTTAATGTGTATGTGCATTATGCTTATATAGCATGCTTGCAATACCCTCAGAGACCAGGAAGGGGTGTTTGGTCCTCTGGGTCTGGAGTTAGAGACTACTGTTAACTGCTAAGTAGGTGCTAGGAACCAAACCTAGGTCCTCTGGAAGAGTATCCAGTGCTCTTAATCACTGAGTCATCTGTCCAGCCCTTGAATTCTAGGTGGGTTTTTTGTTTGGTTGGTTTGTTTTTGTTTTGTTTTTTAATATTTTAAAAATGGGGCCCAAGAGATTGATCAAAAGTTAGGAGCACTGGTTCGATTCCCAGTGTTGACATGGTGACTCGCCCCCAATCCCAAAGGATCCATTTCCCTCTTCTGGACTCCAAGGGGATCAGGCACACACATGGTGCATATGCATGCATGCAGACAAAACAGCATACACATAAAAGAAAAACAAAAACAAAAAGCAAAAAACAATTCCTGCTGCTGGACCTGGTGGTGTACCCCTATAATCCCAGCACTTGGGAAACAGAAGCAGGAGAATTAAGGAGTTCAAATCCAGCCAGAGTCACATAGTGATACCCTATTCAAAAATAAATAAGGAAAATAACACACTTAAATGACTTTAAGAGATAGTGTTCTTCCTGCTGGATGTTTAAGTTCCAGTCACACGCTCCAATTGTGCACCTGGAGCATCCTTTTAATATGATAACATTCATTTACTGGGTATAGATAATGAGGCATTGGTAGGTGAAATGACCCCTGATCCATTAATTGAATTCAAATCTATAGGTTCATAATTTTTGTGGTTGTTGTTTGTTTTTGAGACAGGGTTTCTCTGTGTAGCCCTGACTGTCCTGGAACTCGCTCCGTAGACCAGGCTGGCCTCAGATTCAGAGCTTTCCACACGCTGGGATTAAAGGCACTGTCTCGCTCATTTGCTCTTTCCCCAGTGATTCCGCAAGTTCGCAGTCCCTGGGTCAGACAAGAAAGTGTGCGGTTGACCTGAAGCCTGAAGCCGCGTACAACTTAATCCACACCATTCTGTTCGGAGTCTTGGCACTGAGTACGATGAGGTATTTCCATCTCAGCTGATGTCTTTGATTTAGCTCGACAGGTCTTTAATTGATGCTGTCCAGCAGTCACTGTCGTTGATGACTGCCCGCACACATCTGCCCTTGCGTACTCTCTTTCCTCTATGAAATATCGCTGCGGTGTTTTTCTTAGTTGCAAACATTCTTTCCATGGTTCACTTACGCGATTGTTCCTAGGAAGCGGATAAGTAACCCTGTGGCCCGTGACTTCTGCGGAAGTTGACAGGCGCTCACTCCAGCAGGCACCGCTGACGGCCCCCTCTCTCTGCTGTTTCAGGATGAAGTACCTGTGGACCTCCCATATGTGTGTGTTTGCGTCCTTTGGCCTGTGCAGCTCTGAGATCTGGGAACTGCTTCTGAGGCTGGTTCATCTCTGTAACCCAAAGAGGGTTAGTACCATTCTCTGTCCATGCAGTTGAAAGTGGGCTATAGAGTTTCTTCCGCATCGGTGTTTCAGTAGGTGCTAGGTGTTGAGTAGAGTGTGTACAGAATCTGGATTGCTTTGTTTTGTTTTGTTGTTTTGTTCTTTTAGACAGGGTTTCTCTGTGTTCTAACTGTCCTAGAACTCGCTCTGTAGACAAGTGGCCTCAAACTCACAGAGATCCACCTGCCTCTGCCTCCCGATTGCCTGGACTAAAGGTGTGCCCCACCACTGCCTGGCCCTGTCAGTTATATTTTGAAGTCACTTATATTTCTACATGTCAGATGTGTTCACTATACATAGAATTTAGGAATACAATAAAAACACAAAAACGCAATTAAAATTTTCAGATCGTTCTATTGACCAGAATTACAGTGATTATTATAAGACATTTTCTTAAAGATAATTTGCTGGCATCTACATGACAGAGCTGGCCAACCCTAGCCGTGAACTGCTGTGCCCTCTGCTTTCGTTAGGTGGCGGGGGAGGAAGCTACAGGAGGCTCACTCAGCTCAATGGCTAGCAGACTGGAGGCTGAAACCGTTCAGTCTGTTTGGGTTTGTTGCTGTCTTTGGAAGGTGTGAGCGAACAAAGCCAGACTCAGAGGCCACAGCGGTCCAGAGACAATTGATCTTAACAGAGTCTTTGTCCCGCAGATCTGGGTCATGCGGTATTCGGTGCCCATCCTCACCCTGCTGTACCTGTGCTGTAAGGTAAGGCTCATCTCACTCCTCCTTTGTGCAGAGGGACTTGTGGCATCCGTAAAGACTTCCCTGAACTTGTTTAGTTGGCACTGGTAGGAAAAGCAGTCTCTAAACTTGTAGAGACTAACCTTAAACTTGTTTAGACTAACCTCTAAACTTGTTTTTAGAGGTTATGTATTATAGTAGAAAAGCCATTCAGAAAAGAAAAAAAAAAAGATTAGAAAAGGCCATTCTATTTGTTTCGGTTCTTAACTAGAAGCAGATCCTGAAAATGTTTTTAGTCCTATTTTGAAACAAATAAGGCAGAAAAACAAATGTCTATGTAGAGTGAGGTTTTAAGATATGGCCGACTTTAACCTATGCAAATCATTAGATGCCTTCATGAGAGCTGGACACATGGGATAAACACTGTAAGGTTCGTCTCTGGATCGGGTGTGGTGGTACCCGACAGTGACTTCTACACTGAGAGTCTGGGGTAGAGGAGCCAGAATTCACAGCCAACCTGGGCTTCATAGGCGACCCACACAAAAACAACGAAAGCAAAGGTTGACACTTTGATGACGCAGAGAAAACTGTCGCATTCTCCTTTAACTGATCTGCAGGTGTTCCAGGACACCCTCAGAGACACCATCACTGGTCATTCGGCCACTTAGTGGTTCGTCTGATACCTGGGAAAATAGTGCAGAATACTTAATCCACTTGAACTCTTACCCTTTTTTGTTTGTTCTTTGTTTGTTTGTTTTTTGAGACAAGGTTTCTCTATAGCCCTGACTGTTCTGGAACTTACTCTGTAGACCAGACTGGCCTTGTACTCACAGAGATCCACCTGCCTCTGTCTCTGTGCTGGAATTGAAGGAGTGCCGCCACCACCCAGGTCTCTTGTCCTTTCTTTCTTTCTTTCTTCCTTCCTTCCTTCCATCCATCCATCCATCCATCCATTCTTCCTTCCTTCCTTCCTTCCTTTCTTTCTTTCTTTTAACAGATTTAATTCACTTTTATTTTTCTTGTATAAATACCCTTATGTGGTGGCCACAGCTGAAGCCTGGGTCCTCTGAACAGAGACTCTGATGTGGGTTTTCACAAGATGGTCAGTGAATTCCTGATAAGGAGACTAGGTAAACACAGTTTCTTTCCAGTGGTCGGGGGTCAGGTAGCTGTAGGTTTTAGAGATGGCATCAAAGGTGGCTTGACAAAGTTGCCCAGGGTGGCAGTGCAGCCCCTGGCTGATGTGTAGCAGTCATCAATACTGGCCATCATCAGGAGCTTCTTGGGCACAGGAGTGGAGACTATGCCATTGCCTCTGGGGGCAGGGAGAACAGGTAGATCTCCTCTAGGGATTTGATCTTCATGTCCTTAACCAGGCGGCCCAGCTTGGTGACTGGAACACTCCTTGTCTTCAGCTTTACCTCCGTGAGCCCCGCGGCCTCGGCCTAGGCTATGACCGCTGCCGAATCCTCTGCAGAAGCCGCCATGGACTCCTAATCCTGGTCCCGTGCCGCCCCCCCTCACCCCCTCCCCGGGTCCTCTAGGCCCTCCCACTGCCCCGGCATTATCCGCCATTTGGTGTTTTCCAAAAGAAGAAGGAACTCTCTTGCCTTTTCTTAAACCAATACCAATTTCAAACAAAACAAACTACTTTTTTATTTTTATGTGTGATTTTAAGTTAGAGCAGTGAACCAGAGGTAACTGTGGAGAGGCCCTCCCTCATTTGGCAGAGCGTTTAAGAGAGAGAGTCCTCCAGACAGGCCTGCTTCTAGTGTAACATGAGTGTTTATAATCTAAAGACTTTAGGCTTGGAAACTGCATGTGACAGTCCGCATCCTATCAGAACAGCTGCCATTGCAGGCAGAGCCCACCAGCTCCCTGCATTTTGTTCTTTTATGTAAATAAGTGGAACAAGATAAATGTTTAATAAGCCACTCGGTAGCTCCACCTTTACGTGGGGTTATGAGGGCTAAACCCCAAGTGCCCTGTTGTCAGCACTGCAGCTGTTGGAACAGGACAGTATGGGGCTCGGGACTGACTACGTGTGTCTCTATGTGTATATGCATACGCACATCTGTGTGTGCATGAATGTTTTATGCCTGTCCGCATGCGTGTGTGTATGTGTCTACCTGTATACGTGCGTATGGGTATGTTTGTGTGTGTGCGTATGTGTGTGTATGTATGTGTGTGTGTGTAGGCTGAGTTGTCTACTACCTGTTGCAATTAACTGTTTAAGGACTTGGTGATAAGATTAAGGAAGGGTTTAGAGATAGATAAAGCATGCTCTAGAGCTTTGGTTCTAGAACATGGCCCCCAGTCAGGCAGAAGCATCAGCGCCAGGGAACTAGGACGTGCAAGGTATGGATTGAGCTCATGCTCAGCCGTGAGGTGATCGGGTTCGCGAGATGCGCTGCTGTGGCCTAGGTTCTCAGTACACTAGAACTTTCTCACAGATGACCATGTCCTGGGGGGCTGACCTGCACCAAGCCGATAGGGAAGCAAAGTGCCTGCCTGCCTTCTATGTCCTTGATGCTGGTAGGTCCTCCCCTATGACCGCAAGTCCCTGCTATACCAAGCTCCACTTGTGGGAGCAAAGTCCCCTCGTCTTCAAGAAGCACTGCTCTAGGGGACCAGTGGGAGAACCCAGAAAACCTTCAGTCCCAACAGCAACCAGTGGTCCTGGGGTGAGGGAATTGGGATTCTAATCAGTTTCTCCAGACTGCTGCCCAGGCCTTGAACAGATAGCCTGATGCCTCTATTCACACTGTACAAAACCCTTTAGATACTTTATCTCAAATTTGCAAAGTAAAAAAGGCATGGTGGTATATGACTTCAGTCGCAGCATTAGGAAGACAGGCAGGGGAACTCTGTCTGTTCAGTTGCCGGCTTGGTCTACATAGCGAGTTTCAGGGCAGCCAGGGCTACATAGTGAGTGAGGGTCTGATTTTTTATAAAAGGATTGTAGCTGGGGCACACGCCTTTAATCCCAGCAGAGGCAGGCTGATCTCTGTGAGTCCGAGGCCTGCCTGAGCTACAGAGTGAGTTCCAGGGCAGCCAGGGCTATGCTGAGAAACCCTGTCTCAGAAAACAAAACAAAAAAACTGCATAAAGTATAAGTATAAAAATCTGCATAAGTATAAAATCAGAGAGCAAATGAACAATATAGACATTCAAAATTTTTCCCTGACATTGAAACTGTTTCCCATCTGCCCCAGCTATTAAGATATTCTGTCAGTAATGTAATTATTCGGAGCCTGGCTTGAGTTTCCCTGGCAGTTATACTGTGGGTTGAGTTCTTTCCTCTGGGATAATCCCATTCAAAGGGGAAAGCATGCACTAGGCTCCTCAGAGCCAGACATAAAAGCATTTGCCCTGGCCTCGATTAGCTTATTAGATTGGTGAAATCCCAGCTAATCTATTTCATTCTGCTAAAGGGTGATACTTAGTTTTTATTTGCGTATTATTTAAGGAGTTTTCCTCAGGATGCACTAGAGTTTAACATTCGGTATCAGCATCTTTAAGATTAGAAAAATATCCAATACCCATCGAATTCACAGATATACCAAAATAACTGAAGCATTTTATTAGGTAAATGTTAGTATTTTGTTGACTGTCAAGTAACAGGGACAACACATTTAATCTCCAAAGCACTTATTAGAGTGAGGCTAGCCTGGGCTACACAGTAAGACTGGCTCAAAACAACAAAAATAAGAATTAATAGGGGAAGTGGTGTTTGGTCCCCTATCATTTGAGAATAATTAAGACTTAATTGATTAATGGAGTAGAATTTATGTTAGATAACTGATGGGGAGGAATGCTCTTTTTATCTTGTGTCTGCATAACCTTAAGTGGCAGGAGTTAACTGACGGCATACATAGCAAAGTCAAATACATTAGATTCTCCTGGAGGGTCCAGTTTCCAAACATTTTTTCCCATTGTGCCAGTATTTCTATGGACATATATCAGACCATTTGTCCAGCAGCAGACTAGAGTCATGACAGTGAAATGATCAAGGGACTGCATTTAGAAGCCGTTCTGAGGCACAGCTCTCCCACTGCTGAGCCTGGTTGAGTCAGTCTCCTCCCTAAGCCACAGTTTCCATCCTGAGAGACAAATCTGATGGTGGTGCTCCCCGGTGCTCATCTGTCTTGTGGGTCGCAGTGAGGACAGGGTGGTATCTGTACTGGAAACTTCTGTGTGTGTGTGTGTGTCTGTGTGTGTGTGTGTGTGTGTGTGTGTGTGTCTCTGTGTGTCTGTGTACCATGTGCATGCAGCACCCACAGAGGCAGGAGAGGGCAGCAGATCCTCTGGAACTGGAGTTACAGTCTGCCATCAGCTGCCATACGGGTGCTGAGAACTGAACCCAGGCCCCGCTGCAAGAGCAGCAAATGCTCTTAGTCACTCACTGAGCCATCTCTCCAGGCCCGACAGCAGCCTATTTTTTTTTTTTAACAACATAAAAGTCCATATGTAAAAGTTAGCAGAGCCGCTGACCCCACTAGCTTCCGCATGAATGAGTCTGAAACTTTCGGAATGATTCAGAACGTTTTAAAACAGTTCTGGTCTCCAGTTGCCATTTGCATTTGGCTCCTGGGTTCGTGATGCTCAGTTCCTCTTTCTCTGTTATTTCCTCTTGGTGACAGTTACAAGGGTCCATTTTTGTTTTGAATTTCAGTCCTGGCCAGGAATGATGGATGAACTCTCCGAGTTGAAGGAATTCTATGACCCGGATACAGTGGAGCTGATGGACTGGATTAGGTAAGAGGGACTTTTCTAGTTTAAAATGTTAGTGGCCTTTCTAAGGTCAACTGTAGAGCTCATTTGTTTGGAGGGGGGTATTTTCTAATTGTGAAGAAACATCCTTTTTCCTTTTTTAATCAAACTCTTCATTAGTCCTCTGAATTTGGAAGAAACTCTTCTGAGCTGGGTGCATTGCCACACACCTGTGACCCCAGCAATGAGGCAGAAGCAGAGGCCATGACTTGGAGGCCACCCTAGGCCACATAGTGAGACCCTGTCTCTAAACAACAGGATTCTCTACAGCTACATCCCCTGGAGGGAAGAAAATGCTCTTTTAAAGTGGAAAGCAGGATCAGAAAACAAACTCCCAACATCAACAGAAGGGCGTGGGATTTTATTACCCATAAGGCTCTGCAGTTGGGAGCATGCTCTGCTCTTGCAGAGAACCCAAGCTCAGTTCCCAATACCTGCACCTGGTGGGTCACAACCACCTGGATCTCTAGCTTCAGGGCCTCTGACTCCTCTCTCTGGACTCCATAGGCAGCTGCATTCACGTGCACACACCCCACATGTATGTGCACACACACACACACACACACACTCCACACGGATATGTGTACACACGTTTCAGGGCCTCTGATTCCTCTCCTTCTGGCCTCCACAAGCAGCTGCATTCACATGCATACACCCCACATGGATGTACACACCCATATTTAAAAACAAAGCCAGCACCTCTTGCAGACTTTATTTGACTCACACTGAAACCTAGCTTCTACTTTCTGCTGACTTTATCTCATTCTCGTCCGAATCGGGTTCAGAGTCGCCGTTACACTGACACACACGCGAGCGTCCTTTCCTTGGAAGTTTTAGATCAGAGCTCCCTGTAGGCTTTGCCACACTCATCACACTGCCCAGGCTCTTGGTTCAGAGAAAAATTTATTTTATTTTATCTTATTTTAAGCATTTTTCTTACCCAGGCGTAATGGTGTTTGCCTTTAATCCCAGCACTAGAGAGGTAGAGGCAGGCAGATATCTGAGTTCGAGGCTAACCTGTTCTACATAAAGTGGTCCAGGTCAGCCAGGGCTACATAGAGAGACCCTGTTTCAAATTTCAAAAGTTAATTATTTAATTAAAAAATAAAACTCCTGAGACAGGGTTTCTCTGCGTCCCTGGCTGTCCTGTAACACTCTGTAGACCAGGCTGGCCTTAAACTCAGACATCTTCCTGCCTCTATCTCCTGAGTGCTGGGATTAAAGACATGCACCACCACCACCCAGCAAACATTTTCTTATTTTAAAATGTTTTAATTAACATTTTTATGCATATGGTGTTTTACCTTCATGTATGTCTGTCTGGTGCCCTCAGTGGTTGTAAGCTTCCATGTGGGTGCTGGGAATTAAACCCAGGTCCTTTGGAAGAGCAAGTGCTCTTAACCACGGAGCCATCTCTCTATCCCATAGAGATTCTCAATACAAAACAATTATCAGAATGCTCTAGCATGATATTGCTCTTTTTTTCTTTTTCCTCCTTTTCTTCTTTTTGCCTGAACTGGGTTGCTTTACTTTATTGTGTTTCGAAGTTATGTTCAGGACTCTGACTCACTAGCAGAGACGCACTTCTGCACCTAAGCCGTGTGCCCATGCTCAGTAGGGCAAGCTCTCCTGCTTTAAGCAGGAGTCCCCTGTCTCCGTCACTTAGGATTTTAGCAACAGCCTCGTGGGTACCTGCCACAGCTAGTGCTTACTGGCCACACCAGTTAGTACTGCTTCAAGTTAAGAGATGCCAAGTGCTTGGTGCTTAGGTCTTCTGAGCACCATGCATGTTTTTATAGGCTTAAGTCTAAATATCTATGTGGCTTTGGTCTCAGTATCAGGCTAGCTTTGACTGACATGTCTTGGGGGGGGCAGCACTTTGTCCTTATGTATTAACTTTAAGTTATGATGAGTACTATGGGAAAAAACAATTCTTTGAGTATTGTAAATAGGAAAAGATTATTTACACATGTAAAGAAATGCTGACTACTTTTGTACTAACTAATCGATTAGATAGTTATAACATGTGCATCTGAAAGTGAGGCTGGTCCTCTCTATTTTTTAAGGACTTATTTTATCCTTTCTACGTGCAGGTTAGAGATGTGTGCTGGGGCTGCCTACAGAATCTAGAAAAGGGTGCTGGATCCCCTAAAGCTAAAGCTGTGGGGCATGGCGAGCCACCCAGCAGGGGTGCTGGGGCTTGAGCTCAGCTCCTCTTAGCTGCTGAGCCACTTCTCCAGCACCGGTCCTCTATGTTTTTAAGATGACGCTATTGAAGGTGGTCCCATGGGCAGCATCTCATGGATGGTGGCTCTGCTCTCCCTGGGCCATCCTTAGCGCCTGCGCCTGTGTTCCCTGGCTTGCAGAACCTAATTACAGTCCAGACAGACAATTGCAGTGGAGCCCAGACTCCTCTATCTCGGACTCAGCATCTATTATTTTCAAGTTTTCCCCTCAAAAAATGTGTTTTAAGCAACATTTCGACTCTGCAGAAGTATGGGTGAGAAGATAGTCCTGGTGTGAAGAAGGTAGCTCAGGGCTGTTGCTCCTCCCTGCTGGGGACCAGCCTTGGCATCTGAGTCCCCTCAGCTAACAGTGTCTTTGATGGCGGACTCCTCTGACTTATTAGCTGGTTGGCTTTCTTCTTCTCTTTTCATTCTCAGCAACTGAAAGATTCATATTGTTCTAAAAATATCAGTGCCATTGTCATCTAATCTTGCCTGTTTCCCCTGAAATTTCCTCAAATCAAAATGTGGTTTTTTTGTAAAAAAAAAAAATAGCTGCCTGGCATGTTTGTAAATTAAGCCTAAGTGATGATGAATGTATGCCAAAGTAGGGTCTATTTAGACACAAAATATGTTTGTTTAAGTCAACATTCAAATCAGCTGTGGTCGGCAGACTTCGATTCTCCCCGTAAGGGAGTACATTTAATATTCTTATTTTTTTAGCACTAGAGGTTGAGCCTAGGGCTTCTCATGCATGTTCAGCAAGCATCATTCTACTACTGACCTCTTTTTTTACTTTTTTTTTTTTTTTCTGAGATAGGGTCTCACAAAGTTGTCCAGGCTGGCCTTGAACTCCTTCTATAGCCCAGTCTAGACCTTGAACATTGAGCCTCCTGCCTCAGCCTCCCCAGTAGCCAGACTTACAGGCCTGTGCTACCATATCCCGCTTTAATGTTCTTTTACCCTTCTCTTATTTTGCCCGTCTACTTTGGCTCCCCTGTGGAGACTGGTCACATGTGTTTGCTGCCAGGAGCGAGGACTGCAGCTTGGGGACCCAGCATGGTCGCTCTCTGTCCTTGGGTGCTGTCCTTCATCGGCGCAATCCTGATGATGTCAGCTATAGCAAGGGAGGACACTCAGGCTCAAGATGTCTAGCCTTAGGATGACATGCAAAAAATCCAGGGACACATCCAGTGGTCTTCCGTGTAGTGTAAGAAGATCCTATGACAGGGTGTGGAGAGGAGGCTTGTCAGTCTGTCACCACTGCCCCACCCCACCCCACCCCACCCCACTCCTCAGGCCCGCTCTGAGCTTCACTGCAGAACTGCAAGGCCCTGGAGGTCTGGGCTTCTTCCAGGTTGACTGAGGACACATTGGGAGAGACCATCGCCTTGGTGGGAGTTAGTGATTGTCCCATCTTTTAAAGGAGCCCAGTTATGGGTTTCTAGGGAGAGATAACCTTAACTTCCTTCATGCTAGGACTCGTGAAAGGGGCTGAAGGGGCAGGAGTCCTGTGAAAGCGCTGGAAGCCTTTCACACCTGAGGTTGTATGCTCATTGGTCCAGTTCACTGGCTTCTGCATGAGCACCAGCTGTACCCCCACAGGACACCAGAGTACATGTGTGAACGCTGGTGGCCGGCCATCACACTGCCTCTTCATCAAACTTAGGGTCTCTCTGCTGGCCCTGCTGTCTGTGTGTTCTCCATGTTCTTTTTTTATAATTGATTGATTGATTTTTCAAGATGGGGTTTCACTGTATAGCCCTGGCTGCTCTGGAACTCACTCTGTAGACCAGGCTGGCCTTGAACTCACAGAGATCCGCCTGCCTCTGCCTCCCAAGTGCTGGGATTAACAGCGTGTGCCACCACCGCCTGGCAGTTCCCGATGCTCTCACTTCACTCTGCCTCACAGCTTGTAAGCTTCCCAAGTGTGGTCGGAAGGTGTTTGGGGTTTAGTTTCCTAATAGAAAGGACAGGTGAATTTATAAGCCAAGAGAACCCAGGCCTGTAACCCTAGCACTTCACCATATTCCTAGCACTTGAAGGTGGAGCCGGGAACATTGAGTGCTCAAGGTCATTTTTAGCAACATGGCAAGTTGACAGTCAGCTTGGGTTACCGGAGACGTTGTCTCAGAGACACAGAGAGTCTTTTAATTCTCTCCCTCTCCTGCTTCCTTCCTTTCTTCCAGACAAGGACTTGCTCTGTAACCCTAGCCTTGTGCCACTGTTCTCAGTGGATTTTAATTAACTACATTGATATGAAATCATGTTAGCCTGCAAGGACCTTTTGTGGCGATCAGGTCCCTGGATATGTAGCCCCAGCTGCCTCCCAGTGCCCGCGTGAGAGCCCGGGGGTTGCCACCGCCTCCTTCTCTGAGCCCGCCCCTGTGCCCAGTGCTGTGTGCCTTCCCTCCTAGCAGGCCTTCGGAAGTGCCCTCCGCTGACACTGGATACAGAGATTTCATCCCTGGGCCCTTCTGCCTTCTTGTATCTCTTTCAGCATAAAGCCAGGGGGGTGCCTTTACAGGCTCTAGGTGTGACTGGAAAGCATGTTTGCGTAAGCTGCCTGCCCAGGTCCTGCCTTGTGCAATCTGTCCAGGATGCAGCATTTTTGTTGCCCGGGTCCTGCCTTGTGCCAGGGTATCCAGGATGCAGCATTTTTGTTGCCTGGGTCCTGCCTTGTGCCAGGGTATCCAGGATGCAGCATTTTTGTTGCCTGGGTCCTGCCTTGTGCCAGTCTGTCCTGGATGCAGCATTTTTGTTTCCTGGAAGTTTTCTTGTTCAATTCTGAGGGCTCTGTAAATAAAGTATTATTTTGAAAGATGGCATTTTAATTGCTTGCTTTTAGGAGATTTTTCACTAGAAGCCGTCTCTGAGCAATCAAGAAGCCTGCCATGTATAGAATGTTCTCAGCACAACCGAAAAGCACATCCAGAATTTCTTTTGCTTTTAATCAGAATAGAAAGAATTGCGTGTGTTTTAAAGATGATGCTTAAGTTCAGACTTTAAGTGCTGGCGAACCTCTTATTTATTAAATCTGCGTGAGTGTTTGCCTGCCTATGTGTATGTGCACCATGTGTATCTAGTGCCCTCAGAGCCCAGAAGAGGATGTCAGATCCCCAGAATTCTAGTCACATGTGTTTCCCATGTGGGTGTTGGGACTGAAACCAAGGTCCTTTGGAAGAGCAGCCATGCTCTTGGCACTTCAGCACTCCACCCCCAAGCCTTTTATATTTAACAAATCATTTCTCCTATCTGCATAATTCTGTAAATTAATTGAAGTATTCTTGTTCACTTAGCCCATTAGTTCAGCAGTAATTAACCTGTTGGTGCTCGGCACTTCAAGACTAAATGAAATGAGGGCCGCTGTATCTCCTGTTTTGCCAGACATGGAAACCAGGCTCCCTTTCCTGTGTATTCTCATTCTGTGTCAGGCACAATATACGTTGCTGTAGGCTTACTGTAGGGGGATGCCTTGTGCCATTGAGAGGATCCAGGGGACTGAAAATATAGACTGGAAAAAATAACAGCTCTCTCTGCCTTTCATTCATGTTCATTCCCTTTAGCAGCTGCGATACAGTCTACAATTGTGACTCTAAATGGAAAGTAGAAGAGAGACAAGGCTCAGGATAAGTGTTCAGTGAGCCATAATTGGAGTAAACTGAATCTCCCCCAAGTTCTTGTCCTGAAGCGTTCTCTACCCATGCATGCCTTTATTTAAACCCTCTCATGCCTCCGTAACCCTCCGGTTTCTCTGACCATGTGGGACCAGTGTCAAACTTCCCTGTAAATTGTGGATTTGTGGGGGGCAGAGCAAGCGTCTATCCGTCTATCCGGTCTGTGTTCCCCAGTCTGCTTCTTAGAATGCTGACAACGCCCGTCAGGCCAGCCAAGCTCATGCGGAAGTTTTAGACTTCAGCGAGGGCGGGTGCAGAAGATGTGTCTGTCATTCCTTCCCTGCTCATTGTAATTCCATCCGCTTCTCTCCCCTTAGCCGAGAAGCCTTATTGGAATGCAACACTAGATGAATGTCATGGTTAGAAAGAAACCTCGAATCTTCTAAACGTAGTTTCTTTGTAAGTGTCATCACTCGAAGCACGGCGTGTCTTGCCCCCAGACACCCACGGGTCTCTGTTGGCCTGTGTTCAGGCCGCCTTCTTAGTGTTGAGTTGGAATAAAGACAGGAGTGTGAGGAAATGTCTCAGAGCCCCGTGTGCGCGCTCGGCAGCAGAGCAGGTTGCGGCCTCGCTTTCCGAAGACTGCAGCCGCCTGCTCTGACTTTCTTTTTAAATTTCAAATAGTCTGCATGATTACCTCCGTGCCTTAGCACAGATCAGCAGCCCCAAGTTTCTTTTCTTCTTAGTCTTTTATTCTGCTTTGTTTTTGAGACAAGGGCTTGCTATGCAGTGCCCCGTCAGACTGGACCTCACAGAGATCCACCCGCCTCTACCTGTCTCCAGAGTGCTGAGATTAAGGGCGTGTACGCAGCCGTGCCAACTGCCCTCCTGTTCCTTAACTCAAAGATAAACACAACTTGGGATATTCTAGTGAGCATCTGGAAAATCCTTCTCTGAGGCAGAGCCCTGGGGGAGCTCCCGTAGCAGCTCCCAGCTCTCCCCAGAGAGAAGGGGATTGAGTCAGCTATAGGCTCTTACTTTGGCCAGATGCATCTGTCAACCTATAACCCAAGAAGCTGAGACAAGACTGATGAGTTTAGGTCAGCCTGTTATGTAGCAAGATTCAGTAGTAAAATTTAAAAGAAGAAAAAAGATCCTTCCTCTCCAGAGCCGAGGGAAGGAAGTCCCTTCCATGTGGTGTCTTTCCTACGTTCTCCATCATTGCCCCTCAGAACCCACGAGGAGCTTGGTGGTCTTTGGAAAATTAGTTCATGGGATAGTGCTAGGGTACCCCACACTGCATAAGCTTCAGCCTTGTGTATAGTTTTTTTTTTTTTATCAAGGTTAAAGAGGAAGAATGCTCCGTGTCCTTGCTGGGTGGTGGGTTTACTACTCAAAGGCTTCTTCCCAGCTCTTGCATTTATGGTTGCAGGGCTTTCTTCTTCAAATGTCATCTACAGTAATACTGGATTCTGTCTGTTTTTGCTCTTCTAACCCCATGGAATTGAGTCACGATCAATGATGTTTCCCTGATTTCTCACATATTTTATTAATTTTTTAAAAACTTTATATAAGTATATAAGTTTCTGCACATATGTGTGTATTTATCTATACATATATATACACATATATGCATGCATGGTGCATGTATATACATCATATGCATGCATTGCTTGAGGAGGCCAGAAAAGGGAAGTCATATCCTCTGGAATGGGAGTTACAGTTGGTTCTGAGACATTGAACCTGAGTGCCATGTCAGAGCAGCCAGTGTCCTTAATCAGTGAGCCATCTCTCCAGACGTGTCTCATGTCTTCACTCTCAGCCGCCCTTCAGTTTAGCTCAAAAGCAGCTGCAGCCCCTGAGGTTGTGTTGGACTCCACCTCTCTGAGCAGTGCTGGAAGAGACTCCTACAGAGACTGTGCCTCAGGAGCTCTAGCTACCTGCCTCCTAAAACTGTGTCCATCATAAAAGTCAACCCTTCCAAGTGTGGAGAGCAAGACACTCCTCAGCCTTTGTTCTAGTGAACAGGAAAACAGTTAGGAAGTTGGTTGATGCTGAGGCAGGAGGATCCTGAGCTCCAGGCAAGCTTGGGTTACATATTATGAGACTGTCTCAAAATAAGTAAATAATTAAAGTTTTCATGAAATACCTTGGATGTAAGTCAGTTCAAGTCATTTGTGTGACCCCCTTCCCCCACCCTCCTACCCTTCCCTTCTTCATACTCTCCTTCAGAGCCCCTGGGTGATTCTTGGAAATTTAGTGTTGGGATTAATCCACACTCTCAAACCTTGTAGCTCTAACACACCAAGAAAGGCTGTGTTTGCTGGGAGCATGCAGCTGCTGGCTGGAGTCAAGCTGTGCACGGGACGGACCCTCACCAACCACCCACACTATGAAGACAAAAGCCTGAGAGAGCGGACCCAAGCGGTGAGGCCCATCTTTGCCTGTGCTCACTTCTCGGTGCCCTGTGCCACCACTGAGGGCAAAGGACGTGTCTCCCTGTGCCAGGATGAGGAGCTGCATGCTACACACCTCTAGCCTGTAGCTTAGGAAGGAGCCAGAGCATAAGGGCATGGGTGTCTCCTGCCTCTGCCTGTTAGGGCTGGGTACAGCATGTACTTCTCTTAGGTAGGGAAAATGCTAAGAGACTAAACACCCTGGGATGTGTGGGAGGTAGCGTTTAGGCCAAGGCTCTTGGAGCTTGTGGTTTTGGAAGGGAAGGGATAGAAATGGAGACATACTGGTCTTGCCTCATAAACCAGCTGCAGGCTACTCCCGGTGTGTGTGTGTGTGTGTGTGTGTGTGTGTGTGTGTGTGTGTGTGTATACATGTTGGAGGTATTCACTGATGCTGTTTGTTTAAATACAGCCACATAGTTCAAAGTTCAGAGTATACAGAAGGGAATGGCCTGAAGCACATTCCCCCAATCTCTGTATCCTAGCTACTACCCACTGCCTTCCCAGGAGGCAAATGGCATGCGTGTATGTTTGTGTGTGCCTGTATGTGGGTATGTGCCCTTCAGTGCAGTGTCCACAGAAGCCAGAAGAGGGCATCAGATTCCCCACTGAAGCCTGTGTTTGAGGTGGTTATAAGCCTCCTGATGTGGGTGCCGGGAACTGAACTTGGGTCCTCTACAAGAACAGTACCTGCTCTTAACCACTGAGCCATCTCTCCATCCTTTCTTAGTCTCCTTACAAAGAACAGCTGTAGACCACCTTCCTTTTTCTTGACACTGTATTCTGGGGATAATTATATCAGTGCAGTGGTACTGTATGTAGTAGGGCTTCAGAGGAAGGTGAGCACTGCTACCAAGCCACAACCCTGCCCTCCTGGCCATTTTCAAAGCTGTAAATACTGCAAGTGGATGTGGCGGGTTTCCTCAATCATTTGGGCCGTTTCTGTCTTGCATGAACATGCATAGAGTGGCCGAGAGAGGGAAACCGAGTTTCTGTGTGGTGTCTGCTGGGATGTCAGGTTCTTAGGTCTGTCAAGGCCCGCTCTGAGCAGGTCCTTCCTGTTTCCGTGTTAGCCAGCAGTACAGGAAGGCTCCTGCTATCCGAGTACCGAGGAGTCATACTGCTGAATGTTTCAGAAAGCTCACCTCTTTTTTTATTTTTAATTTTTTATATCGGGTCTCACTTTGTGGCCCAGGCTAGCCTCAAATTTGCCCTCTTCCTGCCTCAGCCTTCTGAGTGCTAAGATTACAGGCCTGTCCTCATGTGCCTGGTTCATACTAACTGCTACTTTTCTTTTTAAAGTTTATTTTTAACTATGTATAAATGGGGTCACTGGGGGTGTTGCTGGTTGTGCATATGTGTACAGTGCTCACAGAGGCCAGGGGCATCAGATCCTAGAGCTAGAGTTACAGGCAGTTTTGAACTACCCAGCATGGGTGCTGGGAACTGAACTTCAGCCCGCTGCGAGAACGGTGTGCACTCCTCACCTCTGAGCCCTCTCTCCAGCCCCTGCCATCAGTCACGACTTAGAATCTTCGGTACACTTCAGCCGAGGCCTCCTGCTGACCTGAGCAGTGTGGATGCCTCTTGGGGTTCCAGCCCTCTCACACAGCCATGGATCAGGACTTGGGGCCACATCCCCGTGCTGCGCCCCAAGATGCCTTCTCCCAGAAGTGTGTGCTCAGGGTATATGGTAGTGGACTTGAAGAGGGCAGGGCAACCCAGGGAAAGACCGCTACTGCAGATTCCCTGGGTCCCTGTTCCCACTTGCCATGATGGGAAGCCAGGTCTCCCTGTCAGACACAGGCGCCAAATGGTACCACCATCCTTCTTGTCTTGCTGACTCACCCATGTTTAATAATTCTTAGAATTATCATCTGATAAATATATTCAAAATCTAAGATGATTAACAGAGTCCAGGTCTTTTACATCTAAGCTAGATGTGTTCAGTGTGACTCCTGTTCCCTCTTCCTATTGGATAATTACAATATCCATTTGGAAATTCCCTGCCTTCCTACTCCAGACTGTGATTGACAGGATGAGAGTGGCCTGGACAGCACGGGGATTTGAGTGTCGGGTCTTAGCACTGCCCCCTGGGGATGTTCCTCCCTTCCTCCATTAACTCCCAGGCAATTGAGAGACTGTGCCCTTTTCCATTTTTATCTCCTTTTGAAGGTTTATCAGATCTACGCCAAGAGGTCCCCAGAGGAAGTGCACTCACTCCTGAGGTCCTTCGGCACTGACTTTGTGATCCTAGAAGATAGTATCTGCTATGAACGCAGGCACCAGAGGGGCTGCCGGCTGCGTGATTTGCTGGATGTCGCCAATGGACACGTGAGCACGTTGCTTCTTCGTCTCAGGGATCCCTCAGAGAGGGCAGAAATCCAGGACGAATCCCAAGTGGTGCCCTTCCTTTGGACCACATGTGTGAATGACATTATGTGCAGACGTTTGTAAACCTGCTCTTTAGTGACAGCAGGGACTGGGCCAGAGGATGGGGAGGGTCCAGAGCACCTCTCTGCCTTTGGCTGTTTGGCATGATGCCACACTGCAAACATTTTATTTGTAAGAATATTTTTCTGCTATATACAACATAGCATCCTGTGGGCACATCTTTAAGTACGAGGCAGCGGGACCCCCCTCTTTTTCCCAGGCTCTGTGACCCATACATCCTGTTCCCTCTTGTCCCACACACACAGCCTCAGGGTAGCCAGGCTTGCCCTCCACAGCAGAACAAGCTGTGTCTCCCTTAGAGAAAGGGAAATTGGGAGCTGAGCCAGGTCACGGTAAATGGGATCTTTGTCCCTTTGGGGATATGGCGTGGCTAATGGTGTGTGGAAACCAGCCTAAATCCACAAACAACCTGTAGGTGAGAAGTAGAGGTTCAGATTTACCCAAAGAAAGGAGTAAGCGGCGATTGCCCGGAGACTGAGCAGAACGCGCACCTGCCGTGTGTGAGTCTGCGTGTTGCCTTTCCTCACTTGGCATCTGAGTTTGGGGAATTGCCTCCAATTGTCGGAGCTCTCTGTGTTTCATGTCTGTGGATGGGACAGGATAGTGTGCTTCTAGGAACAGCATGGCTCAGTTAGCTTTCAGTGCTGCAGCAAATACCTGAGAGGCACTATTAGGAGGTGTGGCCTTGTTGAGTAAGTGTGTCACTATGGGTTAGGCTTTGAGGTCTGTTTGGCTCATACTTCCCTCAGTGTGACACTTCCTGTTGCCTTCTGATCAAGATGTAGCACTCTCCAGCGCCCTGTCTGACTGCACGTCACCATGCTCCCCGCCATGGTGATAATGGACCGAACCTCTGAAACTGTATGCACACCAGCCTCAATTAAATGTTTCCTTTATAAGATTTGCCATGGCCATGGTGTCTCTTCACAGCATTAGAAACCCTGACTAAGACAAAGGGAAAGGATTTATTCCATACTACAGCTTACGGCCCTTCCTGAAGGGACATCAGAGCAGGGACTGAAGCAGAGGCTGTGGAAGAACATTGCTTACTGGCTTCCTCCCTGTGGCATCCCCAGCCGGCTTTCATATAGAACCCAAGACCACCAGCCCAGGGGTGGCACAGAGGACACCCTCAGTGCTAGTCCCTCCCACGTCAATCAACAGAATGCCCCCAGAGACTTGATTACAGGCAATCTGGTGGAGGCAGTCCCTCTCTTAACATCCTGTCTTCCCAGATGGCTCTAGTTTTTTAGTTTTTTGGTTTTGGGTTTTTTGTTTTGTTTATTTTTATTTATTTAGTTATTTTTTGGTGTGTTTTTTATTTTGGGTTTTTTTTTTTTTTGAGACAGGATTTCTCCATGTATCTTTGGAGGCTGTCCTGGAACTCGCTCTGTAGCCCAGGCTGGCCTCAAACTGACAGCGATCCTTCAGCCTCTGCCTCCCGAGTACTGGGATTAAAGATGTGCGTGACCACCGTCTGGCAGATGGCTCTAGTTTTGCCATGTTGACAGAAAACTAGCCAGGACCCAGGGAGATCTGAGTTCTGGTTCTGATCTGCCGTCGGCAGTGACAGTCTCACGACTCAGGATTCTCTTTCCAGCCTTGGTTTGCTCTTGGGAGGGAGGAGAGCAAGGCAGCCGTCTGATCTCCGAGCGGAGCTGGCCCTGAAATACCCTTTAACTGATAGCATCCAGTGCCTACCCTGATTTTTGTGGCCTTTATAAATGTGATTTTTGCCCTGGCTGGTGTGGGGACCAGTGTCTTAAGAACCAACCTTTGTGAAGCTAGAGCAGGAGGATCAAGAGCTCTAAGCCAGCCTGGCTATGTAGTGAGGTCCTGTCCCCCAAAACCACGATATGGGCTGGACATAGTGGCGCACGCCTTTAAATTCCAGCGTGCAGAGGGCAGAGGCAGGCTGTATCTGGGGTTCCAGGCTTCCCAGGGCTACACAGAAAGACCCTGTTTCAAAACTAAACAAAGGAATAAACAGAAGCCACGGTGGATAGGTGGGTGGGTGGGTGGCTGGTCACCACCACTCAAGCTGTGTCTGGGTTTGTTTGGGTTTCAGGAGATGGATGGGCCAGGAGAGAGTGACCCCGACTTGAGGCCTGCAGACCACCCTCGCTTCTGTGAGGAGATTAAAAGGAACCTGCCGTCCTATGCAGCTCACTTCACTAGAGTGTTCCAGAACAAGACATTCCACGTCTACAGACTCTCCAGAAACAAGTGACCATGTCCATTCCTGAAAACCACAGCACACCCACAGCTGACCAAGATGTGTCTGTGAGTCAGGAGCGGGGGGCATGAACACGGGGGTCCCAGGCAGCTGCAGACAGTCCCGCCAGCATCCGACACTGACATCAGTCCCCATCCTGTCTCTTTTCCACAAGTGTTCTTTAGCCTAACTGTGTGCACCTGTCCAAGGCTGCCTGGGGATTATACTGGGACCCCTGGTGGCCTGGACAATGAGAGCCTATTTAAAACTGAAATGCTTGGGGTTTTCAGTGAACCTGAGCCAGTTACTAAGGAACAAATGAGCCTAGTTGACAAGCCGCATGGTTCGGTTCTTGATGTCTTCACCACTGAGACCAATCGGTGACTTTTTAAAAGCTTATTGTCCTGTCTCGTTAAAATTTTATAACATTTTCCAATTTGCCATGCTTTCACGTGTGAAGAAACAAATCACGTTAGGTCTTTAAATCTTAACTATTCCATTTGTGCTCTGAAACGTCACGTGTGCAGAGTGTGGGGCAGACTTCGAGTGTGTGTTTGTTTTAGTTCTGGACTCAGCAGTCCGGGTGTTCCTGGGCCAGGTGTAGTGGCGCACTCCTTTAATCCCAGGCAAGGGCAGGCAAAACTCTTGAGAGTTCAAGGCCAGCCTAGTCTATAGGATGAGATCCAGGCCAGCCTGGGCTATGTAGAGAGAGCCTGTCTTAAAGCAACAAGTGTCGCAGGTCTCCCACAGGTCTGCGAGGGGCAGAAGTGCATGGAGCCTGGTAGCCTGAGCTGTGGTATAGGCTCTTTTCAAGCCCATTCGTGCTATTTAGTCTCTCTGCAAGTAAAACAGTTTTGCTTCATTTCTCACTGGGTTTGCAAAACTTTCTGAACTCTTTGTGTTTTTAGCCTTTGTATTTTTTCATAGCCTAGAAACTTGCAAAGTCTGGGGATTTTTTAAGACGCTGTATCTTGAGCCCCCGAGTTCAGTGTGGCATTTCCATGCCCTTTTGACGTGTGGGCTCCAGCCTTCCCTCTCGGCCCCGGAGATGCCACTTTCCTCCCTAAGAGGTGACCAAGTGCCTCTGAGCCGCGCTCGATTGTAAACAGCGGAGAGGAGTGGTTACCTGCTCAGAGTTTTTTGATAATTACTTTTATAATTCATTTCTAATGGTGGGGGCTGTAAAAGCTGCTGATAGAGGCACATTGTCCACTTAATTAAATCAAGATAGCTAATGAAATTAACTTTCTCTCCTGCTCTTGCCATTTGGAAGTGATTTAAGTGTTTCTCCTCACGTCAGTGCAATAAATCCCTTGAGCACCGGCAAGGAGAGCTGTGCATGCAATGACTCGCTGCTCGGTTGCTACTTAAGGAGCTTTCAGAAATGCATTTCATTGTCTCCTCAGGCTCAGGGTTTTTATGCAAAACTCATTGAAATAAAACATCGACAGCTAGGTTTTTAAATTAGGCCACTGGAACTTTGGAATCCTGCCTTTTCTGGACCCCTGAGGTTGGAGACCACTACAGTTTGGGGTAACACAGCAAGAAAACATGTTCATCAATGCCAAAACTTTAATGAAGCCAGCAATGTCGCATGCCTGCCATGGCTGCCGGCACTGGTGGAACATTCTGGGCCAGTGCCTTACTCTTAAGGGAACGCAGCGCAGGTAAGGCACGGTGTCTCATGACTGTTACTCTGTGTTGGAGTTTGCATCTGTCTTAAACATTCCTATCTGTATTTGTCTCATCGCTCTATGTTTGGCGTCTTGGTATCCAAGAGCCGTGGACTCCACTTGGATGCACATCCTTACCGTGGTGACAGTCATGCTCGTCGGCACTGGCTCTCTCCACAGCACCATTGCTGCCAGACCGTTTCCTAAATCGTGAGAAGTGCCGAAACCGGTCTCCACCGCGGCCTCTCCCCGAGACACTGTGATGTGTACAGGACAAGCTTTTACTCTTGGTGACCAAATCTTTCAGCGAATCACGTTTGATATTTTTAGCTCTGATCAGGACTATAGCTTGTGACCTTGTCATCGAGCACACAGGAGGGAAGAGGGCCCACCTTGGCTGCTGCCCCCATGCCCTGCAGGCTGAAGCCAGAGCCCTGTAGGTCTCTCTCCCTGCCATTCGGACCCAGGGGACTGTTACATCTTAGTAATAACATTCAGTTGTGGCTTTGGCTAGAACAGGCACTAGGCTTTGCTTCTGAGTTCTCGGAAGAACCTCTGAGTACAACAGAAGTGCTCTTAATTAACGCCACTTCTGACTCCTTGGAGCCTCAAGTCTCCAGCCCTCTTGGGAGCCACCTGCTGTAATCCGGCAGGTGGCCCTGCCTTGTGTCTGCACTGCAGGTGCCAGGCTCCAGTCCTACTTCAACCCAGATTCTGGGTCCACATTCTGCTTCTGATTGTGAGTACAGAGTCCAACCACAGGACAGCCAGGTGTGGCTTGGCAGGAGAGTGTTTGCCCGGCATCGCACAAAGCCTGGGCCTGATCCCCAGCACTGCAGAAGAAGACAGACAGAAAAAGAGATACTTTTGCAAAAATTAAAGTCAGATACTTTGATATGGTCGGTTTCTCATCAAAATTGCTTTTAAATTTAATGTGCTCGGCTCTGCAGAAGTGGTTCAGTAGTGCAGAGTGTATATGACTCACGCAGAGGACCCTAGTTTGGTTCCCAGCACCCGTGTTGGCCAGCACACAACTGCCTGTAACTCCAGCTTCAGGGGGACCCAGTGCCTTCTTCAGGCCTCTACAGACACTGCACTCATACGCCCATTCCCACACACAGACAAATAATTCAAAGAAGAGGAAAAATTGTTTTAAAGTCAATGTGATCAGAAAAGTTATTAAATATTAGGAGACAGAAATGAAGGAGATTAACGAGCTTAGGTTCCTTCATAGATTTAACTCACGTACTCACCCCACCTTTCTAATGTCTAAGCCGGAGCTGGCATGTGGCTCAGTTAGAGGACAAGCATGTGTGAGGTCCTGGGTTCTGTCCCTAGCACTGGAGGAAAAAGTCTCAGCTGACAGGAAGACTCGAGAACGTTTTTTTTCCCAGTCATGTTATTGATATGATTTACGCAAGAAAGAGAGCCACAGACAAGGACTTCCGTGAAGGATAAGGCCCTGGCTTCTCATCAAAAGATCAGTGAATGAGGTACTGTGCCCACCGCCAGTGACAGTTCCCTGTGGTAACCGTGAGATAGACAGTCCCCGCCTCTGTGACTGGTGGAGGTTCTGCCCCTGAGGAGGGCACCACCACTTGATTTCAGATGTATTAGCCAAGCACATAAACAACGAGACCGTTTATAAAGATTCGTCCCAAAAATGTAGCTCATCTTTAGCAAAGCATACTTGAAACATTTGATTTTTAAATCACAGCTGGGAGCCAGAGGGAGAAAAGTGTTCCCGACGCTGTCTGTCGTATCACACCTAAGGCTGCTCCAGCCACGTCGGCCTATTGCTGGACTGTTGTCAGGTGGGGCAGCAGCTGACCTTCCCGTTTGTGGCATCCTTTGGGGAAAACCTTAGACAGAGCATTTCTAATTTGTTGTACTGAATTGTATGGAGATTATATACTAAATAAAGCTCTTTTCAATGATCCCAGGTGTCTTGGGTTGCTTTGAAGGTCAGATTGGAGGGGGTGGAGACCCGTGCCAGTAGAGCAATCACCAGTGAGGTCCCTGGCATTGCTCGTTCTCTCTAGCTCTCCTCCTCCCCCTCCCCTAAACCTCGCTGTGTAGCCCAGGCTATCCTCAGCGTCAGGGTTCTCCTGCTCCAGCCTTCCAAAAGCCAGGCTTACAGGACTTACATACCCAACTGTATAAAAAACATTTAAAGATTTATTTTATGCATATGGGTATTTTCCCTGCATGTATGTTTGTGTACTACATGGTTTCATTGCCCATGGAAGCCAGAAATAGGTACCAGATACCCTGGAGCTGGAGTTATAGGTGGTTGTGAGTAGCCATGTGTGTGATAAGAAGCAAACCCTGGTCTTCCGATAGGATAGCCGGTGCTCTTAACCACTGAAAAAATAAAAAATAAACACAAACCTGGTGGCCAAGGAGCTGGCTCAGTGGGTAAAACTACTACCAGACAAGCCCGAAGATCCAACTTTGATCACTATAACCCAGGTAGAAAACCAGACACAGGAGCTGGGTAGATGGCTCAGTGGTTAAGAGCATTGATTGTCTGGTCTTGCAGAGGACCTAAGTTCAATTCCTAGCACCCACTTGGCAGCGCACAACCAGCTGTAAGTCCAATTTCTTCTAGACTCTGGGAGTACCCGGGCTTGAGTACACACACACACACACACACACACACACACACACACACACACAGTTAAGAATCTAGGAAGGCCATATATATCCATTGGTGTGCGTCTGTAATCCCAGCCAGCCATAGTACACAGCACAGCAGTGGGAGGAGAGAACCAACTTCCTAAAGCTTTTTCTTCCCAGTGTGCACCGCAGTACGTATGGAATTCAGACAGAGCCACCAACAGACACGGGAAATAAGGGAGACACTTCCCACCACAGCCATTAGAGACGTAGAAAGGATAGAACAGTTGAGTCTGTCTCAAGGTTTTTATTTACATTGCCAGAAAAGATACATTTGTGAAGCTGGAGAGGTGGCTCAGAGGTTAAGAGCATTGGCTGCTCTTCCAGAGGACCTGGGTTCAATTCGCAGCACCCACAAGGCAGTCCACAACTCTGTAAGTCCAGCTCCAGAGGCTCCAATACCCTCACACAGATACACATGCAGACAAAACACCAGTGTGCATTAAAAGATAGTCATAAAAAATGAGCACATCTTAAAAATAAAATCAAGGCACATTTGCGTCTGTGTATGCATGTGAGCACATGAAGAGAAGGGAGAGAAGGGAAACTGGGAAAGGGCCGTTGACAAAGACGAAGACTGACAGATTGCTTTCCCAACGCCATCACTTTGTGCTGTGTGATTGACATGCGCAGATGTGTGCACATGCCCAGAAGTGCATATTCATAAAGGAGAGAAGTGGCTGATTGAGTGTGGATGTGCAGGAGAGGGAAAAGGGGGCAGGAAAATGATTTCAGGCCCCGCACAATAATTAGAACAGCAGTGTGCTAATTAAGACTCATAAATTGAATGAAACTATTAGCATTTCCTCTCAGAAGAAAAGGTGGATTTTTTTTTCCCCAGGAAATGACACCTGTGAACAATTATCTCTCTTATTATTGCTACTAAGATTATTTACATAAGCGGTGCTCATTTAGTGCTCAGTGATGTGGGTTTTATTTCAGCACCTGATCTCAACCTGGGAATTGTGGGTAACGGTCAGGGCAGCCATTCTGGGGAAGCCCTCTGTATGATGCTCTGTTGTCTTGGTAAGCAGTGGTCTTGCCTGTTTAGTGAAGAAAATGTTTGAGTCTTTTCTTCTTTTTTATTTAATGTGTATAGATGCTTGTCTGTGCACATGTGTGCAGTGCTGGTAGAAGCCAGGAGAGTGTGGCAGGTCCCCTGGAACTAGAGTTACAGATAGTTCTGAGCTGCCGTGGCGGTGCTAGGAATCGAATCCAGGTTCTCTGCCACAGCTGCTGGTGCTCTTAACTACTGAGCCATCTCTCCAGTCCAGATCTCAGTGTCTTCGCACATCTGGTAGAGCCAGTTGGGTGGCAGACACCAGGAGTGTGAGAACGTATCTAGTCCTCTGAGTCAAAAGACACCTGATGATAAGGTATTAGAAAAAGAGATTTATGATACTAACATGAATAAAAGAGATCCTAAAGCTGGGCATGGTGGCTCCACACCTACAATCTCATCATTTGTAAGATCCAGGTAAGATGGCCACTGTAAATTCATGTCTACCCTGATCTGTAAAGTGAGTTCCAGGTCAGCCTGAGCTAGTATGATTCTGCCTCCAGAACAGAAAAAGATCCCCTAGTTTACTGAATAAAAGTGGTATGACTGGGGGTGTGGCTCAGTGGTAGAGCCTCTGCCTAGCATCCCCCAGTGAGGGGCTGAGGTGTGGCTCAGTGGTAGAGCCCCTGCCTAGAATCCCCAGTGAGGGGCTGGGGTGTGGCTCAGTGGGCAGAACACTTGCCTAGTTCCCAGGTGCATGAACCAGATATCACCAACCCCCTGAGGCAAGAAGGAGTGTGGCACTCACGAGTTGAAAACGCAGCAGGTGGGTAGTGAGGCCACAGAGGCCACCCTGAAGTGGGTCATTTTCCCAGTGTCAACAAAAGCACGGGGGTGGGGGGGTGCAGTTTTCTTGAGTCAGTTAATATTTATCTAACTTGCTTTTCAAAAAAAAAAAAAAAGTCCTTGGATGCTGTGTCAAACTTTGAGACTAAAAGATTGCAAATTGTGGTGGTGTGTGCCTTTAATCCCACCAGAGGCAGAGGCTGGTGGAGCTCCCTGCTGTGCTAGCCTGATCTATGTAAATTCTAAGCCAGCCAGGGCTACATGGGGAGATCCTGTCTCAAAAAAACAAAACCCCTGCATGTTTAGCAACAACAAACAAAAGATTGGCAACAGCCAGCCATATGGTACACATGTGAATCCCAGCACTGGGGGGGGGGCGCGCCCGGCTAAGGCGGGAAAACAATCTTCCAAGCCAACCTGTGCAACATAATGAGACATTGTCTCAAAATCCCAGTAACTCAATAATAAAGTACTTGCTTAGCATGGGCAAGGCTTGCTTTCCAGGCACAGCACTAAAAGAAACAAAAGAAAATTTTTTAAAAAATCACAAATACATTGTCTCATGGGACCCTAATCAGTCTCCAGCGGCATCATGAGTCAGTCTTGAGCTGCCTTGTGCTAGCCACACGAAGTCACCTGCAGCCTGCAGCCAAGCAAGTACTAAAATGTAGCAATGGGGTGGGGTGGGGGGAGCTGCAATGATGGCTTGTGGCTTAGGGGTGTACACGATTCTTGCACAGGACCAGAGTTAAGTTGCCAGCACCAACATGGGGTAGCTCACAACAGCCTGGTACTCCAGCTCCAGGAGTCTGGCTCTCTTCTAGCCTCTGCTGGCACCTGCACACATGTGACAGATACACACAGAAACATAAATAAAAAACATAAATAAATAATGTGTTTTAAGTAGCAACGCAAGACTGTGGTTGTGATGCTGTGGACCCTTTCATGAGTAATCACACTGTCCCTGTGAAGACATGGCAGAAGCACAGGCCAAGTTCTCATGAGCATGAATTTCTTTCTATTCTTTTTAAAATTTATTGTGTGTGTGTGTGTGTGTGTGTGTGTAAATACACATTTGCAAATGTGTGTAATAATGAGAGAAGATGCCATGGATTTGAGAGGATGTAGGGTAATACAAGGAGAGTTGGAGAAGGAGAGAAGGGGGAGACATGATATGAATATAGTACTCATGTATGAAGTTTTCAAAAAAAATCAAAAATGAAGGGAAAGAGCAAAAGTTTGAAATAGCCGTGGAAAATGGGGAAGGTAGCTCAAATGCAGCCACAAAACTGTTCACTAGTACTGTTGATGCTCTGACAAAGATGTGGGGATCAGTGGGTACCTCCCAAAGACAGAAACAGAATGAGAACAGGGACCATGTTGCCTGACAAACTCCCTTGCCCTTCCCACTGCCTGTCAAGGAAACTGACTGAGTTGTACATTCTGAAGGAGCGCATAAATATGAAAATTCCACTAAAAATACACGATCGCTGAAGTCGACAGGCTCTAAATATGCAACGGTGGCAGGAGTAATGACAGAATGTATTTATTTTTAAGAATTATAAGACACGAGAAGGCCCAGGAATGTGCGTCCCGTAGGCTGAGAAAATGCAGGCAACTAAGATGGCCTGTAAGATTGCCAAATGTCAAATTCAGCAAAGTTGTCAAGATGGCCATTTAAAACTTGTTCAGAGGAGGAACGAAAACCGTGAGGCATCCATCCCTAGGGCAGAGTGGCTGTGCCAGCTGGTCTTTGTCAAAGCCGTGCAAACCTAGACATAGATGGGAAGGGAGCCTCGACTGAGAAAAGGCCTCCATCCGACTGACCTGCAGGCAAATCTGTAGGGTGTTTTCATGATTGCTGATTGGTCAGGTAGGTGGGAAGGTTCAACCTGTTATGGGTATTTAACATTTTTTAAGGTTTATTTTTAATTATGTGTGTGATTGTGTGTGTGTGTGTGTGTGTGTGTGTGTGTGTGTGTGTGTGTGTGTG